GTCCAGATGGAAGCTGCATGCCAAATGAGAATAGTGAGGACTTATATACTTTGAGGTTTGCCTCTGACATCCAATCATCACTTTACAGTTGCCAAAATGTGTAGTTCATATTTATGTTTAGTAAGAGGATGTTACAAGGTTGAACATTTAGGAAGGTTAATTGAATTAAAACTTGGCCACACCCTAGGCAAGTTAATTAAATTATAACTTGGCCAAACCTTTATTGGTAATTAAAGATGAGCCTTCAAGCTGACTAATCAGACTTATGTTTGGCCAATGTTATAGCATTTTCTTGTGTAGGTTTTAAGATGTACATGTATATGTTGCATCAAATAATAGAGTTCAAGCATGTAAAATATAACCAAAGTTGTACAATGTTCTCTTGGCAATGTATTATCACGTGTCTATCAATAGATAGAAAATAAAAAAAACGTCCATAAATCTTTGCTTTCCATGTAAATCTAGTTATATTGTCTATTGATTATTCTAGATGCTATTAAGAGCTGTCTAAATTATCTCTCTATCCAAAATATTGTTATCTGATTATGGACACTTTCTTTCAATGGAATGTGTTTCCAAATGAAAATATATATATTGTCCATAGATATTGTTTTATAGGCTGCTCAACACCTTATCACTTGTAGATTATTGAAAATATTTTCAATTTTTGGTTTGTAGGTAAAGATTATTAAATTTTTAAATGTTTTTAGATGAATTTCGAAGAAAATTATAAAAATTATTCAATCAATCAAGGAACTATTTATCTTAGAAAAAGAAGGTATAAAAAATCTAAATTTTTTTTTCTTTTTGGCAGATTGCCAAAAAACATGGAATCTGTATTGAAGATAATTTGTGAAGGAATAAAATTCTCTTCATATACATTAAAACAACTTAAATTGCATTTGTATTCTATGAATGATGAAGAAGAAAGATGTTTGGGAGAAACATTGGAAAAATGTATTTCATTGGAAAATGTTGATATAATTGTTAATTCTAATACAAGAAATGGCTTAAAAATGATATGTAAAGGATTGGAATCCTCTTCTAATACATTAAATACAATTCGTATTCATTCGTCTTGTTTACTTGATGAAGAATCAATAAATCTTGGAGAAATATTCAATCATTGTTCATCATTGGAAAATATTGATTTATCCAATAATCAACACATGGGTAAAGGATTTAAAACGATCTGCAAAGGATTAAAATCATCTTCAAAAACTTTAAAGTATATTACTTTACGTTATTGCAATTTAAATGAGAATCAGACAAAATTTTTAGGTGAAACTTTTGAATTTTGCTCCTCTTTGGAAAATATTGATTTATCTTCAAATTCATATATGTCATATGGATTCAATATGATTTGTAAAGGACTGCAGAACTCATCCAAAACTTTAACTAAACTTTGTCTAGGATCTTGTAAATTAAATGAAAAACAAGTAAAATGCTTAGAGGAAACACTTGAAGAATTGTCATCATTAGAAAATATTGATTTATCCAATAATCAAAAAATGGGAAATGGATTTAAAATAATTTGTCAAGGATTGAAATCATCTTCTAAAACTTTAAAAATCATCACTTTAGAATGGTGTTATTTATCTAATGAACAGATAAAATACTTAGGAGAAACATTTGAAGAATTAACTTTATTGGAAAATGTTAATTTATCTTCAAATGACAAGATGGGAAATGGATTTAAATTTGTTTGTCATGGATTAAAATCTTCTGCCAAAAATTTAAAATCTATTAATCTAGGTTCTTGTAAATTAAATGATAATCAATTACAACATCTTCAAGGAACATTTCAACTTTGTTCATCATTGGAAAATGTTAATTTATCATCAAATGAAGATATGAGAAATGAATTTCAAACTCTTTGTAAATGTTTGGAATCTTGTTGTGAAACTTTAAAAGAAATTAATCTGGGTTATTGTAATTTAAATGATGAACAAATGAAATATTTAGGCAAAACATTTCATCTTTGTTCTTCTTTGAAAAAGGTTGATTTATCTTCAAATCTATGCATTGGATATGGATTTAAAATGATTTGTAAAGGACTCAAATCATCAGCAAAGTCTTTAAGGCAGATTAATGTTGGGTATTGTAGTCTAAGCGTCGAGCAAATGGAATGTCTAGGAGTTATGTTTCGCCTTTGTTCTTTGTTGGAAAATGTAGATTTATCTTCGAATGAAGAGGGGGGAAATGGATTTAAAACTGTTTTTAAACAGCTCATTTCCTGTTCAAAAACTTTAAAACAAATAAATGTACGTTTGTGTAAATTAGATGATGAAAATGTGAAATATTTAGGAGACACATTCCATCATTGTTTTTCATTGCGTTACGTTGATTTATCTTCAAATTTGAAGATAGGAAAAGGATTTGAAATAATTCATAAGGGACTTCAAT